CGTACAAGTTGAACAAAAGTAATATAAAATGCTCATGTACCCCGTGGTCAAGTTGCATTCACTGTTCAACTATTCTCACCTTGAGCAGGCATTTACTAATTTCCGGACTACTTAGGGAACATCCAGTTATCAAAAAGCAATAAGAATATACACTGGGGCAATTTACAAATGATCATCCTTTCAGTATTTCTTTCGCTGTCGATCACTTCAAACCATTGCATTTCACTGAACGTGGAAAATCGGGGGCCAAGGAATCCTCTTCCACTGAATTTTATTCAAGCATATATCATGGAAGCAAATGGTGAACCATACAGAATCAACAAAAAACGTATAGTTTCATTCCCTAGCAAAGTGCAGATAGGGTTCTCTAACTAATTTTTCTCTTCTCCCTGTTTATAAGTGCAATGGCTTTCTACCGTGAAAAAGGACATGAACACGCATACAAACCCGAACTCAGTGATCGCCGATTTTAATTACTAATATTTTGATTTGTATTCATCTCTCTCGAAATTTGAGGCGAACATTTCTAGATGACCTCGTGAGGAAGGCGTTGTAACAAAACTACATGATTTCAATGGCCTCTCTACAAACGACATCAGCTTTTATCTCAGAGGTAGCCGTGAGCTTGAAAAGCCACTTTGACCTTAATACTTCAGTAAACAAATATTACATAACAACCTTACAATCACTTTAAACTGGCCTAGGGGCACTATCCGCTGTCTGAAAAGGGACGTGGTCCGAGCTACATCTACCGTTAAAACTATTTTATCCTCGAATGGGCAACTAATGATTACTGGACTTTCCCGTGAAAACAGTGTCACCCCATCTGCCACTGAGTTCAACTGCACAGACCCAATTCACGAATTTTTCTTTTGTTGTACTGTCGATCACTTCATCTATGGCTTCTCTTCATTTTCCTATGCGGGAAAATAGGATATGATAGGATTGACACTTGATGATCCCACCTAAGGCTGCGAAACCGAGAGGTGTAGAATAGAAAATAGACAAGATCCCTCGATCCCATTCCATACTCAAGGATTGGCAATCTTTTGCTCTTTCTTCTTTCTTTCTTCTGGGTAGTTCTTTCCTTCGGGGATGATGAACTCCTCGTAAAGCATATCACCCACTTAATCATTTTCTTTTCATTTCAACTTTAGCTGCACGACTAGATAGGCTGGGATTCTCTTGCTATAGCAACAGTACGTTCATGGCTTCACAGATGTTCGTTCTCTTAGTAATTAGTTACCATTACTTCCGCTTATTACCTCCCGGTCTCTGATGAGAGAGAATATCTGGATCGACAAACATGAACCAGACATCGGTCCGTGTCGGTACCGGAGGGATGGAAGGCTTGGTCGGCAAAGGCGAATATCGATCCGGGATTCGAACCACTGACCATGCGTGTGAGATAATGCGCCACTTGCCACTACACCACTTCCGCCCGTCAAAACTCTCGTAAATAAACATCCATTGCTTAATATTCAACAGTTCTCTTCGATTGAATAGTCTGGGAGTTGCTTTCCACAGAACGTCGTGAATCATGGTTCGTGAATGTATCCTAGACGAGTAACGTCATCCCTGTTGCTTGCATTTATCCTACGAAATCAAATTATAGTTGTTATTGCTATGACTTACATTCGGTTATGCCCAATCATGCACAAAGTATAGTAATACAGAAAAGTTTAAAAACACGAGGGAGTAGAGGCTGAAGTCAGCTCTGCGACTGTTTTTTGTGATGAGGCTCAATTTAGTTGATCGACTTCTAATGTTCTCTGATTCTCGGAAATTAATATACTGGATTCATCTCCCTGAGAAATCATTATAAAAGCGCTTGATGCTATAGTCGATGCGACTCGTGTGTTCATATTGTTCGTAGTTTCGTAAACTCGCTCGTCCAAAACAAATCTTCCTTCCATCTATGACCATGGGAACACGCTTACCTGTACTGCATTTCCATCGCTTAGCTCATTCGTTGTTGTGTAAGGCATTAACTTATCCATGAACCACCGCGGTAATGAAAGGAAGTCGAAAAGGTAGAGCGGATCTGAATGAAAGTCATCATTGCGAGCATATACTTCATCTTGTTATACAATACCAGTCGGATTGCCCGGATAACGCCAGGCTCTCCTCCTTCTTGTGTCGAACACCCTATCCCGAGAAATGTTGAACTAAAGGATTTTTTCCCTTTCTCAAAATTTACAATTCGATTTCTCAAAATTTTAAAATTGTGGGTTTGAATTTGTTGTCTCATTCGCCAAAGGGGAGATACGCTTTTTGGATACTATGCGAATCATCTCGAATTGCTTTAGGCCTGTGAAGAAGACGATAGCGTCGAAACGTTAGGCCGTTGAATTAATGAATCGTTCCACCTAACAACCTCGCACGGCACAAGAGCATTTAAACAATAAACAACTATGCCGAGGTTAAAGCAAGAGAGAAATTGGAAACTATTCAAAATTTATAGTTTTTAGGTTTTTTCCGCTGTTCAGCTGAGTTCAAGTTTTTTTCGCTGTTCGGCTGTGTGAAAGTACATATAAAACTGAAACAGAGCTCGAAATCCTTCTTTGACACAACAGAAATCGGAGGCTCCCCTCCTTCTTTGATAAAGTTGTAGTAAGTCTAACTCTCCTCTCCTTCTTTGGAACAAATGACTGTTTCCTGTGAACGAAATTTGACACAGGACTAACAGTGTAGTGCAAATGGTATTAGTAAAAGTCGGTGCTTATGCCTTTGATTGGAAGTCTCGAACCTTTCTCTCTTAGAAGTAAATACCCATCAAAAATTCAACTGCTAGATAATCAAAGATGATGTTGTAATGTTCTAAGTGATGATAGCACCGTTATCAGATGTTCTTCATCAATGGACCCTTTTCTTTACGGAGTTATCATTAGTTGAGAATTCCAGATTACAGGCGGTCGAATAAGTTTTGTTGCAAATGACATCGAGCAAAGAGGATCGTTCATTGAATCACAAACCTTGCTGAGTAGTGGTCGTAATCTAATATAATAGTAAGAAATGAACAAAGTTCTAATCCGCTTAACGTATTGCCCTTTTGTCACCCTGCTCTACCATCCCGTCTTATCGAATGAAACATACTGAAAGTCAAAGCTACATTGTAGATACTGAAGACGTTGGGATTTTGATCGGTAGGTGGCCTCTCTTAGCTTCCCTATCTTCTCTTATCAGATAAGATCAACTCTTGTCACCGGGCACCTACGATTCCGTCATAGCCTACATCACTTACTAAAAGGCTGAGGTTCAACTGTTAGTACGAAATGTGTAATCCTACCAAATTTCAACGCTCTAGGTCCACGTAAACAGGAGTTATGAATCCGCGGCTGAATGTTTATTGCACACGCCCCGCCCCTGTACATGGAATCCGGTTCCACCACCTACCGTAAGTGTTCCCATCCTGCTCCCCGTAATCCTAGCTAGTTTGAGCTTTCTAGGTCCATGGGATCAGGATCTATGACTTTGCGACCTAAAACTTCTATCGCGCACGCCCTCTCGACTTTCTCTTCGACTTAATAGTCTGGGAGTTGCTCTGCCACAGAGCATATTTCCGCTGTGGAACGCGCATTCTCACAAAATTGAATTCTAATTGTACCGATTTGATATTGTTGTGGCTTACAGTTGACCAGATGGGCTACGCGTGCTAATGCCTGCACCACATGCCCACAACAGCTTACCTACGACTTGTTAGAGGACCATTATAACAGTATCGGTTGACTTCCCATTTAATAACTGTTTCCTCACCGCGTTCGCTTAACATTCGCACTCTTCGCCGTGCCTGCGTGAGGAAGGACGCACAAACAAATTCAGGAGATAATTGGTGAGTGGATCTTCTTCTCTAAGGCCTCTTCTATTGCCGGTGTTCCCATCCTGCCTCCTATTGATTTTGCTCTCCAAGTCCATGGGATCAGGAGTGATGGATTTCCATTCATTTATTTGGCGAGAAACCTCTTCCTTGAGGGGGGGAGGGGGGAGGCGGTGTCCGGCCTACTACTCACCATAAATGATCCCATACTGCCGCCTGCCTCCTACCAAGTTTGAACGCCCTGAAGCCAAACTGAAAATTTTGTCACAAACCTCGTCTTCTATGAGCAGGGTCCCGTCCTCCCACCTACCATAAATGTTCCCATCCTGCCGCCTGTACTCCTGCCAAATTTGAATGCTCTAAGGCTAAATTGACTATTTCGGGGCAGAACCCCGCCCCATGAGCAGGAGTCCGGTCCTGCCACCTACCATATGTGTTCCCCTCCTGCCGCCTGTGCTCATACCAAATTTGAACGTCCTAGGTCCACGGGGACAGGAGTTATGATTTTCCGTACAAACAGACAGACAGGCGGACAGACGGACGGACAGACAGACGCGAGCGTTTTATATAAAGTGAGGATTACGCAAAATTATGTGGAGGGAGTAGAGGCTGAAGTCAGTTCTGCGACTCTCTCTTGTGATGACGCTAAATTCAATTGACAACTTTTATTGATCTCTGACTCGGAAATTAATGGATTGAACTCATTTCCCTAAATCATTATAAAAAGTGCTATAGTGACACATGTGGGTATATGGCTCGTAGATTAGTTTTGTGACTTCAGTTTGCCCGTTTGTACCAAACAAATCTTCCATCTACCTATGACCATGGGAACACGCTTACCTTACTGCATTTCCATCGCATAGCCTCATTGGTTGTCGTGTATGGCAATTACTTATCCACGAATCACCAAGGTAATGAAAGGAAATCGAATAAGTGGAGCGTACCTGAATAAAGGCCATCATTGCGAGCATATACTTCACCTTGTTTAAATAATGTACACATTAACTCTTTGATCGCCAACTTGCTCCACAGAGAACCACTGACGTTTCCATTAGTCTCTGAAGCGAGCATCTATTTCAACATTCAAGAATCAGCCATTTTCGGTCTTCCCTCTTACCTGACTGCGCCGTTACATGAGTTCTATGATTCGTTTCGATTATTCTTGCCTTCATTATTTCAGAAAATGGATTGGGCTTGGTGGAGCAGCAATTCGGTGAGCATCATTGCAAACACTATTGGAATCGTTGCCAACTCCTTTCTGCTATGTATGGTACTAAAAAAGACACCAAAACATCTGATCTCCTATTCCGTTCTGATTTTCGACATTGCACTCTGTGATCTGATAGCCTGTATCGGTGCCATTTTCATTCTCTTGAGGTATGTGACGCCCTTTGTTCGCGTTTTTGCTGAAGTAAGCGACAGCAATGCGATTAATTATTGGGTTGTTTACAAAGTCTTGTGACACTTTGAATTTGAGGATCGCTAGCTATTCGAAAGCGAATAGCGCCCAATTTTGATCTACGGTAAGGTAGATCACACCTAGCGGATATTGCGAAATATTATAAAAAGGCTTCTTCTCTCACGGAAGAACAGTTATGGATCCTACAAATCCGAATATTCTTCGACCCATCGTGTATTATGAATTTCTACAAGGACATTCTGCAAGAGAAGCAGCTANTAACATCTGCGCTGCATTCAAGAAAGATGTGGTACAGCATTTCACTGTCAGCCGCTGGTATCACCGCTTCGAGTCTGGAGATATTTCTGTCGAAGGACAGGAACGTCCTGGACGCCCGTCAACTCTTAATGATGATGATTTGCGGAGCGCTTCGATCTCAAAGCCGAACATAACCACTCGGGAATTAGCAATGACACTCGGGTGCAGCAAATCGACCGTCAGCAATCGTCTTGCCTCTATTGGCTTCCACAAGATTTTTTCGACATGGGTGCCTCACGAACTTCGCGAATCGGAACGGGCCTGTCGTGTTAGCATTGCCGAGTTATTGCTTCTTCGTCCGCACAGGAAGGATTTGTTGAATGGGATAGTGACAGGAGACGAAAGCTGGGTGCTGTATTTAAATGATACCCGCAAGAGGGTGGTTGCCAAAGGGCGAACTGCCACCGAAGCAATCGAAACGTGGTTTGCAACAGAAGAATATTCTTCTATGTTGTTGGCGAAATTGTGATGCGATGCTCTACTATGAATTCCTGGAAAGTGGCACTACTGTGACGGCGACGACGTACTCTAACCAACTACAGAAGGTAGCCGATGCAATCCTTCACAAGTATCCAAAACGACTGGAAACCTATCTACTGCACGACAACGCTCGCCCCCACGTGGCAACGATGACGCGTCAGAAAATTCAGGAGCTAGGTTGGGAAGTATTACCTCATCCACCGTACTCTCCTGATCTAGCCCCTTCCGACTATCACTTGATCCGCGTCTTGAAGCGGCACCTACGAGATAAGAATTTCGATAATCAGGAGCAACTCAAAATCGAGGTGGGCAACTTCTTCAGCACGCAGTCCGCTGATTTCTGGAGAAGTAAGATCGACAAACTGCCTGTGAAATGGATGAAGGTCATCGATAATAACGGCGACTATATCACTGATTGAACTTGTTTTTTATTGTATTAAAAACTATGTAAAATTTGTATTGTTAGTGTCGCACTATTTTCTGGACAACCCAATATTTATGAGGTCAACTTTCAGCTAAGAGGCATTTCTCTTTCTCTTCTAACTGAAATGAATCAAAAGACGGCGAGTATTATCGAATTAACTGATCAAGAACAATAAAGAGAAGAATGGATCGAAAGTCGACTCCCACTACAAGCATAAATCATGGCCAAGTAAGCTTCCCAGGGATTTGGTAGAGAGGTGGAAACAACTGTTCGAAGAAAATAAGAACAAGCATACGCGTTGTCCCGCAAGCTAAGAAGTCGTCACCGACGCTACCACTTTTCGAGCTCTTAATGCGCTCAACCTGCTTGCCCCATTCTCGTGCCCGACAACACCCATTTCGCATCCTAGGAGGCCCTAGATTCGTTTCAATGGGGAATATCGGAAGCCTTTTTATCGCGAAATCTCCAATCAGAATCATTTCTTAATTTGTCACCCGGGCGAATATATCTCTGGTAGACAGGGCTCAGCGGAGGCTTACTGCCAAATTGTCGAGCTACCGCTCGAAGATATAAGAAGACTGATCAACCTTTCATGAATCAAGAAGAAAAAACATTTTTATGCCTTTTCGTTTTTCCTAATACTCAGATTACTTTCAGGGTAATATCTTATGGACCCAACTCGTACAACTTCTACTATGGGCCGTGCAGACTCTTTGGACCAGGAATCTGCATGATTGCGTTAGTGAACGGTTTCCATTCTAAGGATAGATGCACGCTTGTTTTGAAACTCTTTCAATACTTATCGTTACGACTTCCAGGCACGGTCTCATTCTTTCTTGCCACCAGCATGGCATACATAGTTTATTGGTTTCGTTTGCTTATCGTTACTACGTTTTGGTACGTGATCCACCGCGAGTATACAAAGTGGCAGCCACCGTAATATTGGTTTATTTGCCGACGTTCTTCGTATTTGTAAGTTGTTGCGAAATTTGTAGGAGAACAACAAGTTTTGGCACAAAGCATGAACGTCAGTGGTGGAGAAAACAGTGCCTCGGTGAATGTTAAGCGGCTTCAAATGTACCCCGTTCTAGAATACGTGCTTCTAGTGCTGATAATGGCTGCGAATAGAATTTGTTTTTCTATACTTCAAAAATATTTCTGCATTCGATTCACAAAATGAAACCTTCGTGCGCTGAGTCGATTTCTACCATCTATTCACTCCGATGGTATTCACACGTGTGAGTGTGAATACCATCAGAGTGAATAGATGGTAGAAATCGGCGCGGTTGATACCATTTATTTCGTTTATCGGGACCTTACGCCGTACAACGTCAGGTCAAGATAGGATTGAACCAAAACCTCTAACGACGCTGATTCTTCTCCAGAATGATCGCATGTTGAATCTTGGAAGAGAACCGAAGGAACGACGTATCGGTTTGCCCGGCTAACACTAGCTTTCCCTCCCTCTTCGACAAAGTTCTAGTAATCGGCTAACTCTCTACTCCTTTTTTGAAACAAATGATATGTTCCTGAACACGAAGTTTGACACAGGACTAATAGGGCATTGCAAATGGTATTCAGTGTAGGTCGGTGCTCACGTCTTTAATTGGAAGTCTCGATCTTTCGCTCTAGTTCTTAAAAAAAAATACCCAATGAAGACTAAGCTGTTAGACAACCTAGGCCTTGGGCGGTACTCACAACTGTTTCGAGTGACGATAACACTATTATCAGATGTCATTATCAATAGGCCCTTTTCTTTACGAAGATACCACTTGTTGAGAACTCCAGATTATCGATGGTCGTTAAGTTTTGTCGCAAATGTTATCGACCAGAGAGGATCCTTCATTGAGTTATAAACATTGCTGAGTAGCGGTCGTAATCTATTAGCAAGAAGTGAACAAAATCGTCATCTGCTTATAGTTGTGCCGCAATTGGTTCCCTATCGCTGCACTTACCACTCACTTTTGTCACCCTACTCTACTACCCCGGCTTATCGAATGAAACATACTGAACAGTCGAGTTACATCGTAAGCACCGAAGGGTCAGGCTTTTGATCAGTAGGTTGCTCTTGCTCATTTAGGCCCCTTACGTTTTCTTATCAGTTGTCATCGGCTGCTGTCACCGAGTACCTGCGATCCCGTCATATGCTATATCACTTATTAAAATGACGAGGTTCCACTGTTAATGCGAAAATCCTATAAAATCTTAACGCTCTAGGTCTACATAAACAGGAGTCATGAATTTGCCGTCGAAATTTTCTATCGCGCACGCCCCGCCCCCTATGGGCGCAGCCCGGTCCAGTCCGGTCCTGCCAGACAGCGTAAGTGTTCCCATCTTGCCCCTCGTACTCCTACCAAATTTCAACGCCCTAGGTCCACTTAAACAAGGGTCGTGTCGTGAGTTTGCGACCCAAAATTTCCTCTTCGCACGCCCCGCCCCCTGTAGGAGTTCGGTTCTGCCACCCATTATAAGTGTTCCGATCCTGCCTCCTGTACTCCAACCCATTTTCAACGCTCTGGGTCCAATGGAACAGGATTTATGAGTTTGCGGCCCAAAATTTTCATTGCGCACGGCCGGCCCCCCGTCAGGTCCTGCCACCTGCCATGAGTATTTTCATCCTGCCCCCCGTACTCCCACCAAATTTGAACTCTGAATCCATGGGAACAGGAGCTATGAATTTCCGGTCAAACACACACCGACCCACCAACAGACACACATTGCGAGTGATAAAAAGTAGGATAAGTAAAATGGTAAGCAGGCGAAAGAAACTGTCGAAGAGATCTAAGTAGAAGTCGTTGACGACCTTCTCCACTGCCCTTCAAGATACATCCATTAGTCCATTAGGACGACGAAGAAAAGTTATCGCGGTTTTGAATTAGTCCTTTACAGCTTCCTTTATAGCTTCTTGGCGAAGCTTTACAAGTTTGGACACGCTGTTTGATGATTGCCTGTAGCTCACACGATTGTATGCCGGCGTGTCAGCTCGAGACACCCCCAAAAGGGAAGTTTTTTAGCGAGTTGTAAACTCCCTGCTTTCGTACTACTGTCGCGGATATGTTATACGAGCTGGCTATATTCCTTATCAATGTTGTCAATAATGAGTCTTCCCATGAACTCGCAAAAAAAATGAGGTGATCCCAGTTGATGGCGACCTTGCTCTTGCGACACACAGTATAGAGTACTTAGTGTAGAACTTTAAGCAACAGAGACGCCAGACAGACAAAACCTTCGACTGAAGACGATGTGATCTACCCAATTATGGAAGTTTTAAGCGACTTCCGAGTCTATCGCAAAAGGTAGTGGTTCTCTTACAGGGAACTGACATGGTTTGGGTAGCCATGATGAACTCGGACAGTCTTTCACTTTGCTCATTCCATTCTGTTCCATGGGTCCTGACATGAAACTCATCAGCAGTTTTTGTGGGGCCATTAATGGCGTGGAAATCGTCGACGAGACCTTGAAGAAGGTGTTGTCCCCCACGAAAAGCTCTTCATCCTATTCTCCATTGCATGATGTGAGTGCGTAGGAAGCGAAGAGGTAGAGTTGAGCTACAATTCAATAGAAATCACCAATTAGGATTGTAAACCTTCTGTACGAGTCGATGTTCATAGCCAAGCCAAGTGCGCATCGACGAGACCACTTACGCCGTCATCGCCTTTGCTGTCGCATGCCCTTCTTTTCTTCTTCACTCTTGAAAACTACGTGCAGCGGGCATTGTCTTCTCTTCGTCAGTTCGGTGACGTCGTATTTGATTCTTCCTAACTCTTTTATAAACGCTTCCGATGCAAGCGCTCGTGCATTGAAAAACAGATCGCTGTCAGTCCTTTTCTTTTTGAACATCCTGTTATGGCCCTGAGATCTCAGTGGCCTCTCACAAGCGTTTCTACGTAACGCCGCCGTATTGGTGGTCTTTCTCATGTTCAAGGAAAGGAGGCTCATTGTGTTAGCGTTTATGTTTCTTACGTGAGAGCTGAGTAGACTCTCTGTAGCTAGCCAGGTGGACTGGGGGCTTAGATTTTGTAATCGACTCCCTCGTAACTTTCCTGTCCCTCGAATAGGATCTGTTGCCTAAGCCAATGAGCAGAATATCCACAGCACCCGCACACTTTCTACATAGGTATGCGTAGATTCACCTGCGAGGAAACAGCAGGTATAAATCACCCATCACAGCAGAAATAGAAGACCATCTCCCAAATCCACTTACGCCTCTGGGCAAGTACCGGCGACTTTCTCAACCACGGTTCACTCCCCTATTCATCACATGAAATCGCGCCACGCAGCCTTTTAACCAGCAAGCCAAAGGCTCTTGAGTGAGAGTGAATCCTTATAGAAGGAAGTTTGTTAACCCCACTACATATATGAGAGTGCTCCAAACCAGTCTACAGTCCATCACACGTCCAGTAGCGAAAAATTTATACGGCTACAAACCGCAAACCCCTATGTGTGAGGTATCAGGTTCAGGATACTATTATTAATAAATTGCCTCTAAAGAAATACAGAAGTTCCGATGAGTTCATTTCAGAAAGGATGAATTATCTCCCTGAAAGGACTTTGACGAGACCTTGAATCGTTTGATTGTATTTCCAGATAGCCTTTGCTTCATCCGATGAAGATCAGGCGATAGTGAAAGCAGACATCGAAAAGAACCTGGGCCACGATATGAGCTCGGAGTGTTTTTCCAGTGAAAAGGAATGGGGGATGAATTTGTCTTCATACTATTTGATGCTGCCACCGCTTCCTATTTATATCACTATTCTTATTCTCAGAAGACTGATCATTTCGAAGATTACCCTTCAAACAACCATGTCTGAACGTACTCGGCAACTTCACAAGCAGTTACTTCGAGTAAGTTTTCGTTATGCCGAATGATGTTGTGATTTAATAATTTCCGGAGGAGGCGACGAAAATATTTACTTGTATTAGTGTTTCTGGTGCTCCATACATATGAAGAAGGGCTGTAGGTAGTCTATATGGTAAAAGCGTTTCGCAAGCGCTCAAGACTTTTTATAAAAAAGCAAAACAAGCATATGCATCGAGGATTCAAACCTCCGTGTCACGCCTATCAACCCGCCGCCTTCCTAACTGCGCCATCGCTGCACATTTGGTACTGCTTGGTTCTCATATAAAAGCAACAAAACGACATGGTTTCTGGAAAACTGGGTCCGTAATTCCGTCCCCAGAATAGTATAGTAGATTGGGGAGTCCAAATTTGAGGTCACCGTTTGAAACTATGTCGGTACACAGGGTGTCCCAAAATTATTGGCGCCGATTTATGGCAATATATTTTATACTTATCAGCTGCGAAAGACAATGGAATTTCGATGCACGCTAGCTAACACTATGTGCTACAACATGCTACAGTCGCACTCCAAAATATCCTATATGAGCGCGGATAGAAGTCAAAGTTTGCTCTCGACTTGATCGCATGTGGCACGCAGGTATCCCTCTTCATTTCTTCCCAGCCGTTCTTCAGTTTTTGCACTCTAGGACTCCAAACTGGGATTGCGAACTCGACAGGTCCTCTTCTAATCAGGGACCATTCGGGGGAGACAAGTGAGTCAAGTTCTGGAAAATAGGATAACCATTCCTCTTCCAATGAAGTTGAGCAGCTGTTGTCGGCACCACTCGTCAGGCAAGCTTGGCTCTGTGGGCTGCAGTAGGGTCCTGCTGGAAGGACTACGAGATGTTTCAGAACACGTAGTCGGATCAGTGCTTCATTACTTCCATAAATACGCTGATTGAGTACTGGTTTTACCCAATTTTCACGCCTGCACCGAAAAAACCATGAGCGGCCTACACTTGCCAGGGATTTCCTCGGAAAACGTTTCAGTGTTCTTATAGCATCCTTTTTGTGAGATAATACATGCTAGATGTTCCTCTCTCTCCAGGATGCGAACGTTTTGGTTGTTGAGGGATGGTTTTATCGTAAAAAATTTTTTGGCCAGAGAAAACGACGAAGGGTTGCGTGTCATCACGCAAGTGGGTCTGCGACTTTTTGCATTTTTTGCCCCTGCGGTGTCTGTGAGATCGGAATTGAAGTGAAATCTCTGCATACGATAGGAATGACAGTGAAGCTTTTGCAGAATATTCTTCCACCGCGAAAACCCCTGTAAGCCGTGCCCGTTAACTTCCTTTCGATGGGTCACCTAGGATTGGCCGACTGACCATTTTAATAGTCCTATCTTCAGAAACATTCTACCTTTCTACCTTTCCTGGTTTGCCTCTAATTCAGTCTTCTTTTCTATCGTTTGATAGCCTCCTATACGGTTATTATAAAAATTCCAAGGAATTTTATAAAGCCCTTCCACCTCTCGTGTGTCAATGATTGCAAGTGACATTGATTGAGCCTCCTCCATCTGAAAGATATTGGGAGTTTCACATCAGTAACCATGCATATTGCAGGGAGACCTTCTTATTCAACTAATTAATAACAGGTAATATGAACTTGGTAAATTATTTCTACCTTAAAAACTTCTGAATTTTGGGACACCCTGTACGTCTCAACTCGAATGGCCACTGCGAATCAAGATCCTTTTCTTATGAGATCTTCTGCCTAGCTCATCACACAGTCAAGAGATGAAAGAAACGCTTTTTTCTTCCCCAAATCCTGGAACCGGTCGGTGCAGAAAAGTGAAGAAGCGGCAAAGAAACGTTAAAATCGGTGGCTATTTCAAAACAAGGGTTCTAGAAAGTATTCAAGAGGGGTTGTGCTAGATCACTGAGACATATAAGGGATAATTAGAACATTGTCTTTTTTGTGCTGGACCGGTGGCCTACCGTAAGCTAAAAATGCAGAAAAAAATCGGTTTCCGCTTTTGCCACGTATCACGACTAATTGTTTGAATTTTTAACATATGTGCTCCATAGCGAGTGCTGTGGCCTACTAAGGGTTTGATGAATCCTTTTGTGTGGCACACTCGGATGCAATCTTTGAGCCTTTATCACCCCCTATCTCGGTCGTTTTCCGAACAGCGCTATATATGGCATACTTATTATTAGGGACCACAAGCCATGAATTCATTGTGAGGAAATGTTTCGGGAACCATTTTCATTGTGAATTGTCCCTTTGAGGTTCAGAAGGATTGTGTTATTGGCTTGCCTTCAACCAGATCAGAAAAAATATGTGGTGTTTTACAGACTTGGAGGTGTCCTGTGATACATCTTATGGTACTTCATGACTCAATTTCTACCCTTTCAAGCGCCCCGAAAAACGAGTTGCTGAAACGATGGTTTGTATATAAGAGCTTATAACAAGGACCTTTCTGAGCCATTGTTTCGGCAACTCATTTCTATGAAAGCACACAGTCGGGAAGTATGTAAGTCCTTCAGAAAAATCATGCCGAAATTCACCGAGGGCCAAACACAAACACAGGCCAACAACAAACGCCAACACCAACATTAACGTACTGCTCGTCCCGTACTTACAAAGCTTTATTGAGGCAACCATTTTTTGGATTTTCTGGCGAACTAAGCTCCCATTCGAGGTTACTGCGAGAAAACAGTGCTGATACTACTGTTGTCCGCATTAATCAACTTCAGCTAGCGTCCTTCAAAAACGAAGAAAAACCTTCAAATCACATTCGAAAAAGTAAATACTGGACGACACTTCGTGTCCGCATCCTGCTTTAGATAATCTCGGAAGTCTGATTGCTAATCCACAGCATTTCCTCACAGGCGTTGCAACTTCCCCTCCCTGCTTGTTCTCCGACCCATAATGCATTCTTTGCGATGAAAAGCTTTCAAAAGTTGGATCTATTTGCTTTTATGTGTACCGAAACTTTATAAATTTCGAACAAAATACATTAGTAAATGCTGAAAATGTGGGAGAAGTAGCAGAGCGCTAGTACATGATGTCTTAAAAGCTCATAAGTTAAAAAATAACTATGTTGACAAACTTCTCAGAAAACTTGCTGGAATCTATCTTCTTTATAATACCATTGCGTGCAATTGAGCAACCGGTTTTACAAAAAAATTGTTCTCGATCATGCTCACTGTGTCGAAAGACTTCTTTAAGGCTCTTGCTATTCAAGCCTGCTTGCCTGTGCTCTACTTGGGCGGCACTGTCGTCAGTCTGGCTAAAATTTTAGAAATCTATGATCACCCTGTTATGGGATACGCTTTCGTCTATTCGTTTTTATTTATTCCTGCTATAAACCTCCTAGTGTCGTTATATTTGGTTGGGCCCTATCGTGTATGGATACGTGATAAGTTTCTGATGTGGAAGCAGCCAAATGCGAAAGGAACAGCCTCAACTACTGTTAAAGCACTCCAACAGAGAGGAATCGTTGCACCGATGCAACCTCAATTACTACATTCGTAAAGTGCTTTCCTTCAGACAAGTGTAACTGAACCAGTGAGAAGGAACTCCGTAGACTACGGTATATCGATCCAATCCTTGCCGTTCAAGCAGGGCTTCCGTTTCTTCAGTGGTATTGCCCTGTCCAAGAAGCCTTCTAGAACCTAGTGCAGGTCTAATAAATTTGGACTAAGTAATTGGTAAGGATCTCACAGATATAAAATGTTCGCTTAGCCGAAGACGAATCAAATTTGAAGTCTGACTTCTGGCCAGTTCCGGTAGCTACCACTATGTTCAGAACTTTGCACTCCATCTGCCTGTATCCGCTAACTCTCCGTGTCCTCTCTTCCCCACCTGTCCTCATAAGCTCACTAATTCTAGCCTATGTTCCACATACTGCGAGAGAGGTTCAGCTCAACTCATGTGTACTACGAACATTTCCAAGTGCTTAACTCAACCCAACGTTGACCGTCCCTATGTGGGTGATTCTCCGGGTAATATACATACAATGCACACACGGATACACAAAGACAGACATGCTTGGCGCTTTAAGTTTAGTTAATGTCGTTGTTGTTGTTGTTGTTGCTGTTGTTGTTTATGGATTGAGTCGACCTTCTAGTCAACACTATTGAGAATGTTTCCCGGCTGTATGACAATAAACTCATTTGAACTCGTTCGTTTTCCTATTTTGGGAATGCTTGTGAATACGATCGACACTTGATGATCCTACCTAAGGCTATGGAAATGAGATGTAAAATAGACAAGATACCTTGATTTCATTAAATAAACAAGGATTCGCATTTTTCCTCTCTCTCCTGGGTAATTTTCTTCCCTCTGTGGATGATGTACTCTTCACTGATGGATAACGCACAGCATATCCCCACTCATCAAATGACGATGACTTGAATTATTTCGATTTTACCTAAGAAATTGTCTACGCAATGATAAAAACTGCTAGGGCTTACTCGGATCTGGCATCGAGACGCCGAGAACTTCATTAACATCCACTGCTTCATATTGAACAGTTCACTTCGATTGAATAATCTGGGAGTTGCTTTGCCCTAGCCATATTTCCGCAGTGGAAAGCGAGATCATGGTTCGTGGATGTTTCCCATCCGAGCGACGTTATTACTGCTGTTTGAATTGTTCCTACAAAATTGAATTATAATTGTTATTGTTATGGCTTACTGTCGATTGTCGTGCATAGTACTACAAAAAAGTCTTCGAAAAGACGAGGAAGTAGAGGCGGAAGTCAGTTTCGCGACTCTTTTCTCAGCTTCGTGGAAACCAATGAATTAGATTTTTTCTGAGAAATCACTAGAGATCATAAAAAGCTCCTGAACCCATAGTGGGTACTGACCCATTTCTACCGTAAAAGCAAACATTATCCATATGATTTCTGCTCGTTGACAACAGTCGCTACAAACATGCCCATTGTTTGGGCAGGAAGGTATACGGTATGTGAATTAGGTTCGTAAACCCCACAAACTCCTTGGCTAGAACAGGCCTTCCACCTATTAATGACACAATGGGAACACATTTACCTGTACATCGCCCCATTTCAGTTGTCGTGTGAGCCAATCACTTAACCGAGTATCACTGCAGTAATAAAAGGTAGTCGGATAAGTGGAGCATATCTGAATAAAAGCCATCACTCACGAGCATATACTTCACCTTATTTATACAACTTGCTACTTCTTTGATCATCAATTTGCTCAAAAGAGAGCCTGTGAGGCCTTTATCCGTCTCTGTAGTGAGCAATTATTTTATCATTGAAGATTCATTCATTTTTGGTCTTCCCACTCACCTTACTATGCCATAACATGAGTTCGATGGATTCGTTTCAATTATTCTTGCCTCTGTTATTTTAGAAAATGACTTGGGTTTGGTGGACAAGCAATTCAGTGAACGTTATTGTGAACGCCATTGGGATCGTTGCCAACTCTATTCTGATATATATGGTACTAAGGAGAACTCCAAGGCATCTGATCTCCTACTCGGTTCTGATTTTCAACATTTCACTCTGTGACCTGCTAGCCTGTATCGGCGCCATTTTTATGCTTCTGAGGTATGAGCCGTGTCCTTGTCTGCACTTTTGCTCAAGTGTTTGACAGCAATTTGATTAATTTCATAAAGGTCAACATCCAGCTAGAAGGCATTTTTCTCTTTTTGTTAGCGGAATTGGATCAAAAAGACGATCATCCGCCTTGAGTTAAGTGATCAAGGACAAATAAGGGGTAGAATGGGTCGAAAGATGGCTTCTACCACAGGCATCAGTCACGGTCAAGGGAGGGGGGCTTCCCAGGGATTACTTGATTGGAAGAAATAGTTTTTTGAAGAAAATAAGAATTAGTGCTTGGGCTGCCCCGAAAGCCAAGGAAGCTTTAAAATCCTCTGGGATATATTTGAAACACCGTTCAGAAAAAGTACCAGTTCTAAGTACTCTGCGCTTTTTCTTTTTCAATAGTCTTATGTCCAAGTCACTTGATGCGATGCGGCCAGCATCTGCTGCCACGTACTACATTCACAATCGCCACAGGGTAGGGACTGCAAGCAATCATACATTTGTGCTGCTGCGACTTCTATACTGCCACTCTGTGCTAGAAGAGACGTTCAACAATTTCTGGATGTCATCACAAAAAACCGCTTTTTGGCATTCTAAGAGGTCACAGATTTGTTCCAGTTGCAAATCTTGCAAATTGTGCCTTCCAAGAAATTGTGCCTTCGGAAGAATCGCCAATTTCAAGAATTTTATGCTTTTCTCCTATTTTACTAATGCTCAGGTAACTTTCAGGGCAGTAGCCTATGGATCCAGCTCGTACAGCTTCTACTATGGGCCGTGCAGACTGTTTGGATCAGAAATCTGCTTGATTGCGTCAGTGAACGGTTTCCATTATAAGAGTAAATGCACGCTTGTTTCGGAACTCTATCAATCCTTATAATATCAATTCTAGGCAAGGTTTCACTATTACTTGTCACTACCACGGGATACATAGTTTATTGGTTTCGGTTGCTTATCGTTACTATGTCCTGGGACATATTCCACCGCGAATCTACAAAATGGCAGCCACTATAATATTGGTTTATTTGCCATCATTCTTCGTATTTGTGAGTTGTTGCGAAATTTGTAGGAGAATATTAGGTTGTCCATAAAGTTCGTTGGCCATTTGTAAACAGCGTCGCATTACGCATCACGTTGTGATTTTGCATAATGATTTCCCAATACTGAAAGTACTCGCGATAGGCTATCCTCTGAGCTAGCTAGCTCTAAATTTCCTTTCCTGCTCTTCCCACAATAAAGCAGCGAAGATGAGTGATNGTCACCACCACCGCCGATGTTTGCTGGACTACTACAACCTGGGCATCTCCAGACGTCAGGCCACGACCAGGATGCGTCAACAGCTTCATGATAACACCCCTTCTGAAAAATGGATGTCAAAATAGTGGACTCGCTTCACCAATGGAAAGTACGGCATCGAAGGTATGCCCAGGTCCGGTCGTCCAGCCAACATCAATCGACAAGGCATTCTGAATGCCCTGGACGATGAATCGACGTCGTCCTTAAAGCAAGGTCACACAGGCACCTCGTTCCACCATCCACAAAGTCCTTATTGAATTTGGCAAGGTGCCGAAGAATCGTCGAGTTGTCCCTCACGACCTCATGCCGGCACAGGCAAGGCAAAGAGTTGAGGCGTGCTCCGACAACCTCAGACCCAGAGGCCTGAGGAAGATTCTGGACTCCCTCATTTGCCAAAATGAGAAGTGGGTCACTACACTCTAATCCTTTCAACAAACCAGTCTGGGTAGATTTCGATGCGCCTCCGCTAAGAAGTGCAATGAGGAATATGCATGAAAATAGCGTCTTCTGTCAATCTGATTCTCTCGCCACGGCGTCGTCCACTACAGCATCCTACCCAACAATGCCACAGTGACGGCAGAGACCCTCTAAAGAATTGCAGGAGATCAAGGTGAAGTTGTCCCGGAAACTTGCAAACCCGTGGTTGTTCTGGGACAGCGCGTGCCCCCACAAAGCGAGGGATACTCAGGCCGTCCTGGATAGGCTGGGCATCAAGACGGTCACGCATCCACCGTATAGCGCGGACATCAGTCCATGCGATTACCACATCTTCCGGTCCATGTAAAGTTTCTTGGACGGAAAACAGCTGAAGAACGAGACCTCGGGGACGTGATCGAGGGCTGGGCCGAGTCTTGGCCGGCCGGCTTTTGGAAGGATGGAGTTGCCTTTCTAACCGATCGTTGGCGAAAGGTGGTGGGTATGCATGGAGATTATATCATGGACCAGTACATAAGTTGAACTTGGTCAGTATCTTTACAAGCTCTGAAAAAANAAAAAACGAATGGCCTACGAACTTTATGGGCACCACTATAACAAGTTCTGGCATAAGCGTGAACGACATAGGTGAAGAAAGCAGGCCATCTGCAAATATTATGCTTTTATGTTGGAATGTGTTTCTTTCTACTGTTCCAAATTTCAGTAATTGCTGCCATTGTTTTCTATACTTGAAACAGCATTTGATTAAGAAATCAAACCTTTCTCAACTAGAACTAGCAAAAAACAAACTACTTTCATCATCCAAGGCCGCTAATTCCCTTCTCCTGGGAACACTTTTTTTTACTAAAGTATCCTTGGCACATGTGTAGTGCGCACATGAGTCATCACTCAGGGGCTAATAGAGGCCGAACGCCACACGCACTTGCTCGGAGACGCAGGTGATTCAAGTGATGAACTCTGCGTTCCATTAGTGTGAAGTCGATTTCTACTATCTAGTTTCTCTCGAATGGTATTAATGCATGATTTTCTGCGAGTTTGCTGGTGCGGTTAATATCCTGTACTCCGGGTAAGCTAAAATTAGAGTAGGTGAGACAAAGACCTGTGGAAGAGACCAGGGTAATTAAGTGCGACGTCGTTGGCCTGGAGCTTCGAAGTCATCAATGGATTGCTTCAAGATTTTTGTGAGTTTACGAGAAGATCCCATCACTGCCGTCCGACTGAGAGCACTTTT